TGTGTGTATATATATTATATGTGTGTATATATATATATGTGTGTGTGTGTGTGTGTGTGTGTGTGTGTGTGTGTGGGTCTTCTCATGACACATGTGTGTGTCTTGTCATGACACAAAGTGCTTCACTTCGTAAAGGAATTATTCCGTGTTAAGTAGAGTGTTCCACTATTACACCAACTACTAGAACAACTTAAGTCCACTCATAACCTCCCCACCATTCATCATGTATCAAACAACTAAACAGGGACTCGTTGTGCGTAGAAAGAAGAAGAAACAAACAAAATGATAACGTGGAACACAAAATTCTACTTGGACATCTCTGAAGTATAAGTGAAACGTAGACTCTGAAAAAAAGCTAAAAATTCTATACACAGAATGTTTATTTAACAACATACTACACAACACAAAAAAAAGAGACTCTCATTCTCAGCATATTATGATGAAGTGATCAGCGTCAACAGTACACCAACAAATCTGGCAGCAGGGATACTTGCTCGTGTTACCTTTTTCCTTACTTTTATTTCATTCTCATTAACTTTTTTTCTTTGTTACTTCACTCGCACTCCCTTAAATGAATTAATCTTTCTTGAGTCATGCAGAAAGAATAGCGTAATGAAAATCAAAAGCTAATTTGTGATCATCAGAAAGTTCAAGAATTGCAAGTAAGCAATAAAGTGAAAACTATCCAAGAACATTTGAACTTCTTCAAAGTCTATCCTGATATAGTATATCAACTCGAACGAAAAAACAGCATACTTATTCGATCAGATCAGAGAGAAAGAGATCCGGAAAAACACCATGAAAGTAGTGTTATGTTAACTGTTTCACACAAAAGAAAGACCACACTGTGCCTAGTATAAACAACAGTCAACTCAATGAGTAAACAGTAATTTAAAATTAACTTATAACTAATGTTGGTGTAGATCAAGAGCCAGTGCTTCAGAACTTGAAGCATCAGTACAGAGTGTGCATAGAAGCTGTGTCTGTATACACATGATTAAGAGAGAGTGTGCATATATGCATGCATATATATATGAGAGACAGAAAGTATCTTGTTTTTGTCAAATTACAGCATTCAACCCCCCCCCCCCGACAGAGGCTGAAAGCTTGAAAAAAAAGGATTAAAATTTCTATGAAATTCATAACCAGAGGAGAAGAAATATGAGGAGAGTATTCTCTGCTGATGGAAAAGAAATCAACAACTACTACAACCAAAAAAAAGAGTGAAAGCTGTAAGATCTCTCTGCTACCTCTCTACTGAAATCAAGGACCTGCCCAGATTGCTGGAATATTATCGTTACAAAGAAGCTTGTTCAATGTTTGTTTTTCAACTAATGAAAATTACTAAAAGTGCCATAAACACTCAAGGAAGAAAAAAAAAATTCCACAAAGTTGCAAATTTGACTTGAATTGAAACGGCACATTTTCCCAGCAATCTTTCACCCACATTTTGTACTCCAATCTTTAACTGCATCAATTCAGCCACTTAAGAACAGTACTGCATGAGGATGGGGAGTCTCATTATGTTAGGGAACCTTTAAACACACGCAGCTCCAGACACTCGTACACATACACGACTTCTTTCAATGGAAATCATCACCTGCGAATAAGAAAGAATGCCTGGTAAGTAAGAGCAATGAAAGTAAGATCATTCCGTTACATTATGAAATTACAGTCAAACTCAAAGAAGCTCTAATGGCCAACAGTATAAGACAATCACCTGCACAAATGAGCACCCCCCCCCCCCTCCGCACCGCACACTTTAAAAACATTAATGACACTGTATGACGTCCACCTATCTGAGACAGATACTTTTCGCCTCAATAATGAATGGCTGCCACAGATCATTCAGACAGTAATTTGACAAGTCTTACAGTAAAGACAAACAAATGTGACCCCTGGTCTGTTGACATTTAATAGCTGGGTAGAGAAAAAACGAGCAGAGGCAGTGAATTGATAATTTTGTAAAATCCTGAGACAGGCAAGAAGACAGCCTGAAATATGGTATATAATCGTATAACACAAGTATCCTGTTCTTTTCGCTTTAGTAAGAGTTTTATGGCACTTGCAACACAATGAGTTCATATAAGTGCCGAAGATTAGAGGTGTTACAAGAGAGTAACAAACACAAAAAAGAAGGAGGGAAGATGAGGACGATAGATGTCTGATAGGAAAGAAGGAGTAATAAGTAGACCTCACCAGAAAGCCCATCAACCACCTATAATACATCTCTGTGGAGGAAGGACAGGAGAAAAGTAGCACTTATTAGCATCAGTGATGGTTAACAGCTGAGAAACATTTCTTTTATTTTATTCAAATAAAAGAAAACAAGATGAACTGTCTGATGTATTTCTTTTTTTCTTTTTTTTAATCACTGTGATATAACTGACATAGTCATGAATAACACTACGGAGATAATGTGCTGTTTAAACATTTTGAACTTAGAAACCACAGGGGCTCAGGCAAAGGTAGCCAGTTGAAACAGAACTAAAATGCTCCTTCGAGGATGGAACTTACCGTAGGAATTTTGTTTTTTCGTTAAAAATTATGTAGGTGCTTCTTTACGTCCCTATCAACATAATCTAAATTATTTTGGAGGCACGCTTCTGACCCTGCCTTCGGGGCCAACCCAAGCTGAGAGAGTTACAACATTCCAGAAGAAAGACTGAGATACTCTACAAAAAAAATTTCCCATTCCTGGATCAAACTCAAGTCTCAAGTGTGCAACAGTGAAGTGAGTAACTGCTACATTACAGATGCTGGTGAACTTTCAATGAGAAATGAGAAGGAGTCTAAAAATCTGAAGAACTTTACAGCAAGAACGGAACATAATTACCGATGCTAAAAAAATCTGAAGTCTATGAATAAGCTAATAACTATTAAGCAGACATCACTACCCATAAATATATACAGTGGAACCTGCCCTGATGGCCACCTCTATAAAACGGCCACCTCTATAAGACAGCCACCTCTATAAGACGGCCACCTGTACAAACGGCCACTTTCCATTCCCCTCCTTGCCTTTTTTCTATATAATTTAACTGTGTAAAACGGGCACCTGTCTAACGCCGCCGCGGCCACCATATTTTAACACACAGCCCCTATCACACTAAGCAATAACACCTGTCTTAGACGGCCACCTTAGTGACTCCATTACGTTTTGTCATAAATTGTGCACTGGCCCCTGGCTTTGTGGGCGAGCCGTCATAATCCAATCATCTGTTGTTGTTGTTTGGTAGTCCTTCCAACCGATCATGTTGTGTAGACCCCTCCCACTCTTGAACAATAGATATCAATTTTCAGCTGCTGCTGAGGTAAGCGTGTAATCCCTCATACCCCATAAGCCCCGACTAGAACTCATACACAAATCGTAAGTGAGATGAGTGGTCACTGTTTACCCAGTCTGTAACAAAGTAACATGAACTTGTGATAGAAGCGCCCCTCGTTCTCCGAGTGGTGGCGACCCATGTGTTTGTTTTACAATGACACTCTGTCTTCCTTGTCTGATACATTTCGTTTTATTGTTACCCTTGCGCAAAATCAGCAACAAAATAAGAATAACAAACAAAATACAAACCAACAACAACAAAAACAACAACAATGCGGCTACTTTCGATTGGGACTTCAGACGGTAATGGTTTGTTTTCTTCATCTTGATCAGTCCTGCCTAAGACGGCCACCTGTGTTATACGGCCACTTTTCTCCTTGACAATGGGAGGCCGTCGTACGCAGGTTTGACTGTATTATTTTATATCAGCTTAGAAAATCTGCACACCAAATGCAAATGATATATATCTATATATATATATAAGTTAGAGGGCAAGGTTAAAAAAAGACCTACCTCTCTTTTAAAGATAAATCTGTATGACAGTATGTCAGTATACTGTTAAGATGTCACTCAAAAATATTATTTACGCAACCCTCCGACCTTTCTCTCCCATCCCCCTTGACCTCACTTTTCCTAGGTCAAATGTCTGCATTTGAGTGCAAGGTAGAATGCAGTCTGCTTAAACTGTACACATGATTAATCTTAAAACATTGGTAAACCGAAACAAAATATCCCCAATTTTTTCCTTTTATTCGAGAAGCCTTTCTAAACCGTAAACCAGACAAAACCGCAGAAAATTCTGCAATCCCACAGATATCCAATTCTGCAGACTACACTGTAGATCATCAACTAAACAGCCATGAATGAGCCTGAAGTCTCTAACATCTATCAGGAGATAAAAAAAGCAACAAAAAAAAAGCTCAAGCAATTTTCTGAAGGACTTATCATAAATAGGAGTAGGAGAAACTCTTTTTTTACCTTTGCTTAATTCTCTTCCCCATTCTCAGCTGCAACCTCAGCCTCAGCATCAGCAAGTGCATCAGTATCAGCCAACGCATCAGCATCAGCATCAGCGTCAGCATCAGCATCAGCATCAAGTTCAGCATCGTCTTGAGGCTTCTTAGTATCCCCGTTCTCCGCTGCGATTCCAGCTTTCTCTGCTCCCCGTTTGCGCTTTATTCTCATTTTTCTATTTTTTTCTTCCACCTCATCCAGTGTGGGGTCATCACTGATGTCATCCTCACTGTCATCTCCCTCCCCACTGAAGTCGTGGCCAAGTTTCATACTCAGCGTTTTGTACCGCCGCAGCTTGATAAAGTCTTTCAAGTAGCCTAAACAGAAATATGGCTTCACAATGTCAATGGTGAAAGCTAAGTCCTGGTATTTCAGGCACTGCACGCAGTTGGGGTTCACAGCCCAGATGCAGCTACGCAGAACTGCAGCAGCCTCCTTCTGGGTCATGTTCTCTGCATCCATGCTGCCATAGAACTGTATGGAGAAACGGAGCGGCTGCTGATCGCCCAACAGCTCCTCCAGCAGGGGCATGGCCAAGGCCTCCATGTCACGAGGTTTCGTGGTGGACAAGCCTAGCACTGGCATCGCCCTCATGGGGTACTTTGTCCGGCGTTCGCCCTTGCTTGTAGCCATGGTGTCGAAGACAAAATGTAGGAAGTCCCCAGGGTCCACCAGATTTGTGGCTAAGAAGACCAGGGACGGGTCCAGGGCTAAATCTCTAATGATGAACTGGATGGAGGATCCAGACTTGGGGGTGGCTGCATTCCCTTCCTCTTCTTCTTCTGTCTCCTCTGAGCACTAAAACGTGAAATAAAAAGAAGAAAAAATCACTTAATCAGTAAATTGCGAAGTTAAATTAAATGATGAGTAAAGACAATCTGACACTTCAAGTACAATATATATGTGAAGCGTGCTGACAAAATGAGATAATTCTCACTTCTCACAATCAGTGAATGCAGATCCAAGGCAGATCCAAGTCAAAAATAGACACGGGTCATATTCGGTGTGTACTGAAACAGAGAGATCTTGGCAAGATGCAGGTCAAAACATTGTACCGGACCCGCGGCACTTTTTACAGAAGACAGCATTATAGTAGAGGGTTTTACGATGCACACCACACACAAGCGCTAACTTTGTTGTAGCATCTTTATAAGGCCTGTTTATGGCGCTTGCTTGGGAAAATGGAAAGGCGAGGTACTGACTCGCTGACCCTGGCACTTGCTAGCAACAGACTGAGAAGAATGGGGAAAGGGAGTGAGCAATCAGGAGTGGAGGTAGGGAGGTGATGCAAAGTGTGCGAGACACTCACATCTGCGAGGCACTGTACTGTGTTGGAGACTACACTGTGTAGACCCTACATGACCTACTAAAGCCTGGTGTGTCGATATAGGCAACTTGGCGGGTATGCGGACTTAATGAAGAACTAATGTGTTGACCATTAGAGTGGCTTTTTCCTCCATTTATGTTTGTGGGCTTCACCAGGTACCCAGGAAGCATGTCAATAAAGCAAAGTGGGCAGAAAAAAAAGTTGGTATAAGAGAAATTGTTTAGTGTAGATATTGAAGGAAAAATTTCGTAAATGGAAAAGATGTCGATATGTCAAAATGTCGATATAAGTGACTGTAAGTGCAGAGACTGCCAGGTACTTTGGGCTGTCTTAAAACACCATTAAGAGACACAAAATTATATGATTGTGGATTATGTAATATCGCCCTTTAAATGGATCCATTCTAACCCTGTTTCATCAAAGAAATCGCCAAATTTGGGCACAAAAACACTGGCAATGAAACTCAAGATGTTGGTAAAGTGTTCTATTCAGCAAAGATTAGGGTTTTAATTCGTTGCATTTATGCAACAGAAAAAGTGCTCAAAACAAGAGGATAGAGATATCACAAATCCAATATCCCCCAAGTGGCCCTAATCGGTGGCCGAAATGGGATGACATGGGTGGAACCTCTGCTCTTTATCATACACATTCGGTTACTCTTCAAAGCAAATTTAAAGGACGATGGTATTGTGACGAAAGTCTCCGTCACCGTGACAGCCCTACATGGCACGGATAATGGAATGAGCTAACAAGACAATGCCCGACCACAAATGGCCACGATCAGTGGAAACTCTTTCCAAACTCATGAAATCATTATTCTGGACTGGCCTGCAAGATCAACAAGCCTTAAACCAAAAGACCACCTGTAAGATGACTTTGACAGGAGGATTAGAAACAGGCCGCACTCCGTAGAAACTCATCAGGAACTGAAGGCTGCACGTCACAAGGAATGGCAGGGGATTCTTCAGACAACATAAGGACATTAATTCAGTCAATGAACAGACGTTTTGTATAAGTAATTCAAGCTGGAAGAGACCACATGCGATACTGAGCAAACTTTGATTTAGATTTTGCAAGGATCAGTGCGAATAAAATAATCTCCCTTGAATAAGGAAAGACATTCTTTTCATGTCATGTCGGCAGAAAATGAATAAAGATCGCATGTACCAAATTTCTTTGGGCTATGTTGAATAGTAAATGAGTTATTGTACTTTTAAGGTGAGCGTGGCAGAACTTTTTAAAAAATAGTAGAGGTGTTCGATAAAGTTAGACATGATGAGCTATTTAAAATCGAAGTGATTATTCGGACTCGAGTTCGAATATGAAAAAATGAGAGAGAGAGAGAGAGAGAGTGAGAGAGAGGGGGGAGAGAGAGAGAAAGAGAGAGAGAG